CTGGCTCAAGTCCTTCCTCTTACACACTAATAAGGTAAGTGTAGTGTAGTAGTCCAGGGACGATCACTGCCATGAAGAATAAGGATTCTAGAATTAGAGAAGAATAAAGTACCATTCCTGATCCCAGCACTTGTTTACCATAAGATGCTACAAATTACTTCCCGTCTTCCATTCTCAGTCTTCCTGTCTCAAAAATGCACATGATGGTGAAAACTGCCCCTCCCCCTGACAGGTAGCCCCTGGTCCAAGCTATGACTCTGATGACAAAGACACTGCTGAGATAATTAGTGTCAAAATATCAATCCAATATCATCAGACAGAATGGAGGATGTGATGGGAGAAGGATCATAAACAGATGGGCACAGGGGTGCTCTGATAGAACGTTGCTTATAAAATAGAGCGTAAAAGCAGGATCCACAGTTGCTTCATTCATTCATTCATTCATTCATTCATTCATTCATTTGGCCAATGTTTGGACAATGTTTACTGTCTTCCTTTTCAGAGAACCTAGGATGCAAGTCACAGCCCCTTTAAGTGACCAGTGTCTAATAAGCCTGGGGAAGCATTAGGGAAATGATACACTCATTCAAAGTGCACAGTCTGAAGGCCTCAGAAAGAAATGAAAACAAACAAACCAAAAAAATGTGAGGAGAGATTTGGAAGCAACCAATGCAGCCAAAAAAAGAAGGAATTCACTGACCCCCAATCTGGGCCATCTCAAGAGAAGTTGGCCACTGACTGAGTCTCTTAAAAAGCTTAAAGATCATCCCAGGCCATGGTTAAAGAGAAAGCTCCAGCAAAACAAAAACAAATGTGATCTTCAAAGCCTTAAATGTCAACTTGAAGGATGGCTTAGAAGCTCTGGGATGAACCGAGAGGCCCTGCAGCTGCTCCCTCAGTATCAGATGCCCCTTCAGACTTCTTCAGCCTTCAGGGTTGTCACTCCCTTCGATAATGTGTCACCCCCTCCCACACTCACTGAAGCCCACGTTCCCTCTTTGGAGCTCTGCACACAGAAACGCTGCCTAACTAACCTTTGCCTAAGGTTTGCCATACAAGATTGCCTGACCTCCTCTACCTGTTATCCTCCCCTTCCTTTCCCAAACACACACATACACACACAGCACTCATCATACCCCAACACAGTACACATACACACTACACACCTACACACACAGCACACATCTCACCACACCACACCATACCACACAGACATATATATAAACCACACCATACACACACACACCATACCATACACACAAACACACCGCAGAGAGGCATGCACATAACGCACCGCATACCACATACACACACATACACACACAAACACACACAGCACACAAAGCACAGCATACACAGCATATGCAGCACACACATATATACACATACACAGACACCACATGCATAATATCATATACTACAAATACATACCACATGCACAAGCACACCATACACACACAGACACATCCCACAGATACATACACAGACACCACAACACATATACAAACATGCAAACCACAAACCAGACCACACACACACACATCATACACACAAACCACACACACCCCCACACACCACATATACACATACATCAAACCACATATACACACACAAACCACAAACCATCTCCCCCCCACACATACACACACAAACCATCTCCCACACACACATACACAAACCACTCATACCACACACACACAGCCCACTCATTTAATTTCTTCCTCTCTAACAGTTCACTCACAGAGAGATTTCCACATTGCTTCAGCCACCAGGATATCAGTCTTGGGCACACTCGTGAGCAATTCTCACTAGTTAGCTTTTCTACAGGAAGCAGGAATAACCTGAGGCAAGGGTACTCCAGCCATTGGTCTGGCATCATGGGAACTATAAGATCACAATGAGGTGAGATGCCTCTTCCCAAATCATTCAAGCTCCTGAAGACTGAAACACTGAATATTGAAAAATACAATATCCTTTTATTAAGAGTCTGTATTATCCCTGGATCTGTTCTTAGTCTTGTATTATAAATGTCAATTCTGTACTAATCATGGTACCTATATTTGTCCCCAAGATGAGGAAGTGAAAGTCTGGAAGACTGGCTCTCCCAGGTTACTCATTTGCACACAAGTCTCTGTCCATGCTGACAGCAGGTTGCTTGAGAGTCAGCACTCTTTCCACAGTGCAGGCTGCCTCTGGGACCCATAGCTGGGTGCTGGAACCCTCAACACACTCCCCAGCTGTCACCATCTAAATAGTCATTGGCACCCCATGTTGTTCTTTCTGCCAGGGGTGTGTTTGCCCCTGTAAGTCTTCAGGCATGGCTGGGATGCGTCTTCGCTAAGCAATGAATTGAGTGGATTGCAGAGAGGGCAGAAGGCAGAGAAAGCAGCCTAGTGTCAGTGGTATGGAAATTCATCTCCAGTCTCAGGTTGGTGAAGGGTCTCTGAGAGCTGGAGGGTAAGGTGGAGATTCCACAAATGGGTCTGGAAAACCTTAGGTACCGAACAATGCTAACGGCATCCCCCTGGTTGTGAGCTCCCTGAGGAGTCACACACGGGGGCAAGGACATTTGGGTGAGAGTTCTCCGGTGGATTCCCTCTGCTGTTGAATATTAATAGCACATTAATTCTTCCTTCTACTTTAAGTGATGGGACTGAGGGAACTCAATACATCTATTGGCCACAGGAAAATCAGAAGAGAAGGCTCCAAGTCTTTCTCCTCTCCATCCTCTCCTCCTTAATAATCAGATTTCTCTTTATTCTTGTCTCTGAATCCAAGACTGATGGATTGAATGATGGGGACCATTTCTTGTAATGAGTCAAAAGAACCTGGAGCTCAGGGTATGGGAAACAAGACCAGGGAGAGAAAGTAAGTTCCCGGAGAAGCCCTCTACCTCCCACAGGCTCTCCAGAGGAAAAGCACCCAGACTCTGGCTTGCTGTGCTGAGAGCCCTGCTCCAGCCTCCACCTTCCCCAGCCCTAAGCCAGAGAGAGGGTTGTCTCTTCTTCTTCTGTCCTGATGGGGGCACAAGTATTCCCCGAGTCTTCCAGCATCTGGAGAAGTTTTGAAAACCTGACTAAAGTCAGGCTAGAGCGTGCACAACTCCTCAGAGGTGACCCAGACAATAATAGCGCTCTTGTGTGGTTTTTTTGTGTTGTTTTGTTGTTGTTTTAAAAGAAAAAGATGGGGGTAGGATGAAGCTCACAGTGTGGATGGAGAAATCGGAGAAATGCTTCCATGCCCAAGGCAAGAACTGACACCACAGTCATGTCTGCGTAAACACGGGCCCCATGTGAATTCACAGAGACCCAGCCACCACTTACACACTCTTCTTCCCTGTGCTCACTCCTCCCCCCTACCAAGCACACACTTCATGGCATTGCTGCCTGCTCAGTCTTTTCCGGTACTTCCCAGGGGGTCAATTTGTATAATTTTTAAAATCCTCCCCAAATCTCAACTTCCTGTGGTTCTGTTTTCATTTCCAGATTTCCTTCCCATGGTCTGTTCATTCTCTCTCTCTCTCTCTCTCTCTCTCTCTCTCTCTCTCTCTCTCTCTCTCTCTCTCTCTCCCACCATAGGGTGAGTTCAGGCTCCTTCCCTCTCACCCAAACGTTGTTGTTAGTTGGCTCTGCTGCAAGATGTAAAACCAGAGACTCCAGAGACAGCATGGCTGCCAATCCAGGCTCTCTCACTGTCACTTGTTTGTCATCCCAGCTACAGACACACAAGCAGAATTCTGTGCATTCTCTGGTTGATAGACCCCTGTGGCCGCCCCCCCCCCCCCAAAAAAAAAACAACACCATTTCCACCCTCTTCTGAGAAACAGACGCCACACTCAGAAGGACAACACAAAACTGGAAAAGCTCTTGAGAGTCGGAGTGACTTATGTGCCCCTGTGGACTTCCAGAAAAACCCCCAGGGACTCTGCCCCCACCCATCCTCCCATGAACTGGCTACACACTCTCCAAGACTGAAGGGAAGCAGCCAAGGCAGAGAGAGAAGAGTTAAACCAAGCCCAGACTTCAGCAATCTGTGTTCAATTTTGATAAAAATCTCTCTTGCTCTCCCCCACTGCCCCCTCCCTCTGCCCACAGCTCAAACAAATCTCTTTATGTTACCAGTATACATTTTGTTTGGGACACTGCAGTCCGTGTCCCTCCCAGAGAACCTGAAGCTAGCCCACTATGGGCACATGGGGCAGAAACATCCACCCCCGCTCCTGACGCAGAGCAGGACACAGGACTACATCAGCCAGCCGCACCATCATGCTCTCCTCCTCCTCTTCTCCCTCCTCCATCATGTTCCTCCTGCCCTCCCTTCTCCTCCTCCTCCTCCTTCTCTCCCACCCTGTTACCTGTGGTCACGCTAGATCCTTTCTGGGCTAAGTTAGAATCCCACCGCATCGAAGGTTAGACTCCAGCATAGCAAGAGTCTGGGCTGTCCCACAGGTGCCAAGGGCCACAGCTTGGAGGAATCCCTCTCCCTGATCTCCCTGATGCTTCTTGGCTGCTCAAGGTCCCTCTGACTGAAGAACAAGAGACACTCCACTGGGCTGCCCATCCTCCTTGTCAAGGCCCTGCCCGCAAGTAGGAGCTGGAGGCTTGGAAAGACTTCAGTCTACCTAAGAGAATGTGCACACCGAAATGGGCAAAGTAGCCACCAAAGTTGTCAGCATCCGGGAGCAGAGCACTATCAATGTCGGTACCCTCAAGCCTTCAGGAGTCTGATTGCAAAGCCGCTAAAAAGTTTTCCAAAGTTTTCCAAAGCCGTGTACAGTGCGTGGCCTGATGCACACACTCCTCTCTCCACCCCCCTGCGCACACACACACTGCCTCCCGTCAGCCCACTCCAGGATCAGAGTCTCTGCAAACATTTTCCAGAACAAAACAGGCAGCTGCTGGAGGGGCTGCCTCTCAGACGCCAACGCAATAGCGAAAAGTGAAGCGACAGGAAAGTGTGCTGATGCCGCCCCGCGCCTAAGTCTCCAGTGCTGCACCTACCCTGAGGCCCGCATGGTGCGGTGAGGCTGCTGCTGCCCCGGCTTCCCGCAGGCACCGCGCTCCGCTTGCTCAGCTCAGTCCTTGGCTGCCCCGGACTCCGGGAGAAAGCAGGCTGCTCCCTCCCGGTCGGCCTCGCGCCCGCTGCCCGCCCCGCTCTGACGTCAGGCGTCTTGGAGCTAGGGATATTTATGGCTAGGAGAGACTCTGGCTTTTTCCCCTAGGTGCTGATCTGATGGCAGCAACTTGGGAGTTGATTCGCAGTTTTCTCATTGGGAAATGGGGGGGGGGGGGGGTGTCAGCCGCTGGCACACAGCAGGATGAGGGTCGCTGTTTCTCACTTCGGCATCCAGCCTTTCTTGGGAGCTGCCTCTTTTTGGGAGAATATCAGGGTCAAAGAGGCAAAAGTGGCCACCTGAGCAGGAGACTCCCCCTTCTCTGGCCAACTAGCACCGGGAGCCACCCATCTGGCTGGAAAGCAGGGTGCCTTCCCTGGGCAGTGAGTGCCTGGAAGGTGCTGGCAAGAGAAATAGGCCAGCAGCACAGAGCAGGCACTAATTAGAAGGCGTGCGCCACGCCCTAACAACTTTTCCATTTCTTCTTTGGGAGTGCATAGGGTTTTTTTTTTTTAACTTATTTTTATTAGATTATGTTCCACACTCCTTGCCTCTTTGTATGCCTTTTCCAACTCAGAGCTGGCCAGTTCATCCTACCCCATTGCTTATGCACATAGTTCAAGCCCTGTTACAGTAGCGTTATCCATCCTCTGAAAACTTGCATTTAGTGTTTTAAAATGTGGGAATGTGGAGCCTTCTCCTTGACCAGACTGGAAACGGTGTCAGTTAAGAGCAACTGTCTCTATAACCCACAATACCTTGTGTGCCTATTTATTGGATACATCGCCCACACCCAGGTGTCCCCCTTTCCAACAATTTATTGTCAATATTAGCAGCAACATAGTAAGCTGTAAGTAAAAGCAATCTATTGTTATTGTTACTATTGTTAAGACATGGGTAGCAGAAGATTATTTAGCTGTAAGAGATTTATGGCTGACTCATTTACTGACGACCCCACAGTGAACCATCTTTTTTCGGGATTACCCCACAAGCAAACTTTACTGTGCCATCATAAGGAAACATGGAGTGGATGGAGCAAAACAAGGAAGGAGACCAAAGGAAAGGGAACGGTTTCGTTAGCACCGGCCACCTGGTTGGGAGCATGTGTCTGCAAGACACAAACCACTGAGAGACGTCTCTCCAGACCAAATGAGAAAGGGGATGAATTGAAAGATGAGGGCATCTGAGACTGACTGGCAAGGTGTTTCAACTGCTCCAGGCACCAGTGGACAAGCCTGAAGACCTCAGCTGATTCCCAGGACCTACATGGTGGAGAGAGAAAAGTAACTACTGCTTGTTGTCTTCTGACCTCTGCAGGCATGCGATGGTACAATCTGCAAGTTCATAAACACACACACACACACACACACACACACACACACAGAGAGAGAGAGAGAGAGAGAGAGAGAGAGAGAGAGAGAGAGAGAGCTTTGTGAATCAATCCCTCCTGTGTTTACCTCTGTCTTGCTCCCTCTCCCTCCTCTCCTTCTCTCCCCTTCTCTGACTTCCTCTCTTTCCCCCTCTATACCTTTCTCTTTCTCCCTGCTCCCCCTACCCCGTCCTCCTATCTCTCTCCTGCCCTTCTTTCCTATCTCCCTTCCCATCTCTTCCCTGCATTGTCTCTCCTCACCCTCTGATCCAGTCTGTTTCTGTGGAAGTTCACAACCTGTGGTGAAGGGAGCCGGGAGAAGAGAGTTCCTCATGTTCCTCGGTCCATTCCAAAGCGTTGCTGTGAAAGTCAAACGACTCCGAACAGATAAGAAATCTCCACCTCAGCTGGCTGTGAAAGTACACACCTGAGATTCCAACTCCTCTAGAGGCTCAGGCAGGAGAGTCTAGCCTGGACTAGTGACTTTCTGTCTGTGGTGGGGAAACAAAGAGGATAACAGGGAGAGATGGGAGAATGGGGAGGAGAAGGGGAGAGGGAAAGAGTCTTCTATCTCACAAAGTTCTTCTGAGACTGAGATGGTGAACCACAAACTTTTCAGACCCTGGTCATTCCAGTCAGAACATGGCTGCTGGTCCATACACTCTTCTGAAGGAGGCAGGGAACTCTGAGAGCAATAATGTTTCTAATGACCAGAAGGTCTACTGAGTAGGTAGAGTGCTTACCCGGCGTATACAAAGCCACAGCATCAGTCTCCAGTACCTATATGAAACTTGGCACAGTGGCACATTCGTGTAATCCTAATACTGTGGGGGTGAAGTCAGGGGGACCAGAGGACCAAGGCCACGATCATCCTCAGCTACACAGTGAGTCTGAAGCCAGCCTGAGATGCACAAGACTCCGTCTTCAAAGGAAGGGTGAGGTGACACGGTGTGTAAAGGCACTCGTCACCAAGCCTGATGACCTGATTGATCCACAGAACCCACATGGTCGAGAGAGAGAACCCACTTCTGCAAATTGTCTTCTGACTTCACACACACACACACACACACACACACACACACACACACACTTGCGCATGCTAATTTGGTAATCAAAGGTAAGAAACACATCTGTGTAAAGAATGTTCTAATCTGCAGAGGTGGCAGCAGCAGTGTGTTGAACTGGCCCAGTTTTCCACGTGCCCATCAGTCTCCAGGTGCACTGACTCTGAGCCCACCTTTCTCTCAGCGACACTCAGGACTCTAAGCTCCATTGGAGCGGGTAGAACTGCACCTCCATTAATTAGGTCCTCTTCACTTCCAATGATCAAAATAGAAAAACAAAACCCACAGTTTATCCAGTTTCTTCCTGGGAAGCACTCTTCAGTGACACAAAAACAGGAGAGATATCACAACAGCTTGAAGTGTTTAGTCCTTCATCGGCTGGTGTATAGCAAGAGAGTCTCAGAATTTAGTCTTAGAATAACCTGGTTTTTAACCCCATCTCTGGTTCTTTTCCTTAAAAACTTACTACATTTATTTTTTTTTATCTCAGTGTTTAGCAAACATGTGCCATAACACAGCTATGGAGATGAAGGACAATGTGTCAGACAATGTCTCACACGAGTGGGACCTGGGGATTGAACTCAGGTGGTCAGGCTGGGCTGCAAATGTCTTTGCCTTCTAAGCCATCTCACCAGCGACTATCCCTGGTTCTTGTAGCTGAGGATATCATTGAACCCCTAACCATAATACAGACTACTGGGGGTCAGATCTCCTGATGCCAGAAGGGGACCAGGTTGCAGAATATGCATGTATTACAGATGGTCACGATTCTTTTGTGCCTTTTTCTCTCTTTGGCTTCTTCCTCATCTCCATCTCCCTCTTGTCCCAAGTAATTTCATCTGTTGGTTACTCAGTACAGAGAGAATGCACTCAATACCAATGCTTAATTCTCAAAGATTCCAACCTCCTGTTCTTTGCAAACTTCTTTGCCCAGAGTTAAGAAATCTCCCCTGGCCAGACATGACCACACAAAATAGGCAGAGATTAGAAAATTGCTCCATGAAAGGCAGGCTCCCTCTGAGTGAAGAGCTGAATTTCTGAGGCTCCTTCTCAGGTTGTTTGCAGCAGCTTGGAGGGTCAGCTCTACTGCCTTGCCTACGTCAAAGCCCTAAGTGTTTAACCACAAGACACACAATCCTGGGACACCGTGGCGGCAGTCCTCCATCCATCTCCTCCCCCACATCCAGGCAGGCCACTTGCGTGTAGAATCTGGTATGTGTTCTTCTAAAGCCAGAGGGGCAAACTCTGGCCCAGTGTATCACACCTGGCCAGATGTGGGATCAAATCTGACACAGTCAACAGAACACAGGAATGGGCAAGAATGCAGTGGAATTCTTTCTTGACATACCCTAGAAAGTCCATGAGCAGAATCCAAGGTCTCCAGGCTGAGGAAGGCCAAACCCACTTGTAGCTGGAGGTGTTTATGTTATTCCTGGAACAGGAGTCTCTACCCACATGGTCATGTGCAAATTTTCAAGAGATTCCCATTTTTCAGTAGCTTAAAACCTTTTGAAAAATAAGCACAGTCTGTCTCAGGATAAAACTGGATCCTATAGCATTTAAAAAATATATAAAAGGCTGGGAAGATGGCTCAGTGGGTGAAGTGTCCGCCCAACAAGCTTGAGAACCCAAGTTTGAGCCCTAGGTCTCATGTTTTAAAAAAGTCAAGCCTGGGCTCATAATTCCAGCACTGGAGAGTGCATCTGGAAGGATCCCTGGGTCTTGATAGCCAGCCAGCCTAGAAAACTGAATTGGCAAGTTTCAGGTTCACTGAGAGACCATGTCTCAAAACACAAAGTGGAGGGCAATGAAGGATCACAGACAAGTCGACTCTGGCTTGCACATGCCTGCCTCCACATTCAAGCACACACAAACATGGACATGCAAACACACACACACACACACACACACACACTTTTCTCCATTGAAAAATCATTTGGGGTGATGACAATATTCAAGTACCTGTGACTTGGGATATCATAGAGAGTATGTGTGTGACTGAACTGAGACTTCAGGATAACTAAGGGACTTCAGGAGAAATGTGAAATGCTTCATCCTTCCTTGGCTGTATCTGGAGAGGTGGCTCCATGGCTAAAAACACATGCTGCTCTAGCAGAGGACACAGGTTCAAAGGATGATATTACCATCTAAGACCCTATTCTCTGTCACCCCAAGAAGGTGGTCAATGATTCCTCCTTTGGAATGATCTATCTCAGCACCCTTTGTCTCTCTGGCTGGGTTTACACAGTTGCACAGACACAGAGGGAGAGAAACCAAGCCCTGGCAGCCTTGGGAAAGAGTGCAAGGCAGAGACATCTGTCCACCTCATCCTTCTCTGTGTAAGATATCCACAAATGCAGACTTTGTTTTGTACAGTAAGGGAGTGCAATTCAAAAGCATCTAAATGAGCTGATTTCCCTGACACATTGAAGGAAGGCAAGAGGAAGATGGAAGAAGACTGCTCTTCTCTGATGCTTTGGTTTATCCAATGTGTACAGCGTCAGAGCTACTGGAGTAAAGC